TTAGTGATTGATTACGTTTGTATAGTTACATACAAGTTACAAAATTCTAACAAATAATGGTGATTGCAGACATGGGCTTAGTCAAGTTGGCTAGAACAGATGTACATGTGCTCTTTATTTTGCATCCGAGTTCGAATTCTCTTCCTCCTAATTTAGATTAGACTAGATTAAAGTAAAATATCATTTCTATAAAATAAAAAAAATAAAAAAATGGTGCTAATATATATTCAATGATATCCCTTGGTGCTTTTAGGTTGTCTGCCATTTGCTGTTTTTTTATAACATTCAACATCGTCATCGTTACCATAAAATGAGGGAACTAATTATGACCAAGTTTTTCAAACCCAAGAATAACAACGCGAGAATGCTAACCAATGGAGGGTTGGGATATCTTCAAATATGTGGAGATATGCTATGAATGACGGGAGTCAAAGATGAGCAATGAAGCAGATACTTATTCGTTTTTATGCATTTAGAATTATAGTTTACTTATCTTTTTTTTTTTTGTCAAGAAATTACTTTTATGTTTTTACTTTTGCGTATTTTTCATAAATATGCTGACATATATCTTTATTTGGTTGCACATTTGAACAAAATAGATGCCCTTTGTTTATTTTCTTTGGATATATATGGTTTGGACGTTTTTTACAAATTGTTTTTGTAAAGGTTCTTTCTCTTTTGAAAATCTAGAAAAACAATAAACAGCCCCCAAAAAAAAAAAATTAGAACTCTAATAAACTCTTTTAAAATCTATGATAAAACTCTAACAAACACCATTAAAATCAATCTACGAATTTAATCAAACTCTATGTGGAGTTTATAGAAATCAATTGAAATATATTGAACTCTATAAACTTTATAACTCCATTTAACTCTTTTAAAATCTTAATTAAATACACTCCCCTTAATGATATCTCTTACTGCTTTTAGGTTGTCTGCCATTTGCTGTTTTTTTCTATATTATTTGTTAGTTAGTGGTTCTTGACTTTGTCTTAACACCAAACATAAAAAAATCAAATAAAAAAAATAAAAAATTTGTCCCAATGAGCTGAAGATTCTGACAAAAATATTTTAGCCGCTATTGAAAAAAAAATGGATGGTGACAACAAAATTACTATAAAATGGCGGCGGTGGTCCTCTATCTCTCCTTCATCTTTGCATGGCTAGTATAAGGGAGGAGTCGTGCTCAAGTGGTTTGTTGCCTAGTTTTTTCTCGGTTGCTCGAGTTTCGGATTTACAAGATTTGTTGTTTTCTTGAATTGAATATGACATGAGATTGGACCTAGACCGGTGTTTGATAAGGACTGAAATGTTGTTTGCATGTATGGCCCTCGTTTCATTTTTCAATTCATGTGGCTTTTGAGTGCCTTATTAGTGATTGATTACGTTTGTATAGTTACATACAAGTTACATAATTCTAACAAATAATTGTGATCGCAGACATGCACTTAGTCAAGTTGGCTAAAGCAGATGTGCTCCCCATTTTGCATCCGAGTTCGAATTCTTTTCCTCATAGTTTAGACTAGATTAAAATAAAATATCATTTCTAATAAATAAAATATCATTTCTAATAAATAAAAATAAAAATAATGGTGACAATATATATTCAATGATATCTCTTGGTTTTTTTATATATTTTTTTTCAGCCTGGTGGTTCTTGATTTTGTCTTTCTCTCAGCAGTAGAAAAAGGAACAAATCCAACCGCCCATTACTGTCGTATACCCTGACTGACTCTTTCTAGGCTGCCGGGTCCCCTTGTCATAAGTCGGACATGGCACGAAAATGTTGTTAGAACTATAAAGTTTTACTGCATTTGTGCTGTGAGTGCAAATATTGTTCATCTGTGCATACACTGACTGTATACACAATCTAAGATGAGCTCCATAGAAGTACAAGGCAATAAGCCTCATGCTGTATGCATTCCCTTTCCAATTCAAAGCCATATAAAGGCAATGCTGAAATTAGCAAAGCTCCTACACCATAGAGGTTTTCATATAACCTTTGTTAACACAGAGTTCAACCACCGCCGCTTTCTTAAATCTCTTGGACCTAACTCCCTCAATGGCTTGCCTGATTTTCAATTCGAAACTATTCCAGATGGTCTTCCAGCTTCAGATGAGGATGCCGGCCAAAACGCCTATTTGCTTTGTGATTCCATCAGAAAAAATTTCTTGGCAGTATTTCGTAACCTCCTTTTAAAACTCAATGACATGGCAACTTCTAACAATATTAGTAATCCTCCAGTGACTTGCATTGTTTCAGATGGTTTCATGACTTTCAGCATCACAGCTGCTGAAGAACTTGGAATCCCTGTTGCACTGTTCTTTACTATTGCTGCAATTGGATTCATGGGCTTTAAGCAATATCCCACTTTGGTAGAGAAAGGACTTGCCCCACTCAAAGGTGAAAGAAGTATTCATAATATTGAAGCAGTTGAGCAACTTTTTGCTTAACTTCTTGTTGTTCTTTTAAAAAATGATGATGAAATTTTTCTTGACTTGGGTGTTGCAGAGGAGAGCTATTTAACAAATGGCTTTTTGGACCAGGTCATAGATTGGGTTCCCGGAACGAAAGCTATTCGTTTAAAGGATCTCCCAAATTACTTTCAAACTACAAACCCCAATGACATCTTGTTCAAGTTAATCTTGGAAGCAATGTACAGAGTTGATAAAGCTTCAGCAGTTGTTCTTCATACTTTTGATGAGTTGGAGGCAGATGCTTTGCATGCTCTCTCATCAATGCCTCCACCTGTTTATACCATTGGCCCTCTCCAGTTACTTCTCAATCAGATACCACAACACCCTTTGAAGTCCATGGGATATAGTCTATGGAAAGAAGAAACTGAATGGTTCCAATGGCTCAATGCTAAGGTGCCAAACTCAGTTGTTTATGTAAACTTTGGCAGCATAGTGGTCATAAAGTCAGAAGATCTTATTGAGTTTTGTTGGGGACTTGCAAATAGCAAGCTTCCCTTCTTCTGGGTAGTTAGACCTGATCTGTTAGTTGGTGAATCGGCGATTTTGCCACCTGAGTTTGTAGCTGAAACTAAGGGAAGAGGTTTGGTAGCAAGCTGGTGCCCACAAGAGCAAGTCCTTAGCCACCCATCCATTGGAGGATTCTTAACACACAGTGGTTGGAACTCAACCATTGAGAGTCTTTCTGCAGGAGTTCCTATGCTTTGTTGGCCATTCTTTGCCGAACAGCGAATAAATTGTGTCTATACTTGCAATGAATGGGGCATTGGCTTGGAGATCAATAATGATGCCAAGAGACACCAAGTAGAGAAGCTCATTAAAGAGTTAGTGGAGGGAGAGAAGGGTAAGAAAATGAGAACTAAGGCTATGGAGTGGAAGAAACTAGCAGAGAAGGCCATCAGTCCTGATGGTTCTTCATACTCAAACTTAGACAATTTAGTGAATCAAGTTCTATTAAGAAAAGCCAGGTGCTGTCCATATGAGCCTTCTTATTAGGTTTGTTGTTGTTCTTAATAACCTACAAAATGTAGAGCCTAGAGTCTATTGAGCCTTGCTACCATCTCTAATTTCTTGCTTTGCTGTAAGCTAGTTATAATATGAAACTTATTAAACAAAAAATTATGGTGCCATGGTTTTTCTTCATGATTATGCTGATATTTACTACACAATAATTAAATTCAAAAACCAGAGCAAAAATCAAAGGAAATTAATTATTGAATAGTAAATATTGTATAACCACAAAACAGAACTGATACCTCAAGGCTGATCCCTGTACTTTGAAAATTTGTTCTGGTCACATCCCAGGGAGGGAGTGGTGAGATATGCACTTGGATTGCACACAGCTTTTTCTACCCATGCTGTCAAATGTTTAAGCCTTCATAATAACCTGCATAGTGCAGATGGAAATCATAATTTTGAAACAAAACTACTAGAAACAAAAACCAGAGCTTCTTAAGAAAAGAGCAACAGAATAATGACAGCTAAATCATTTAAATCATTTACAGGCCAAAAGCCTAACTGCCTATGATTCACCACTGATCAAAAGACGGTATGTCTGAGTCTTCCTTTCCGAGACAAAATAAAACAATCTAGTGCGAGAGAATGAAAGTTAAGAAATCGCAATCCTATTTGAATAAATTTTGTCTAATAGGAGTTGCAATCCTATTTTCCCAAATGATGTTGTAAAGGCCGAAACAAAAGGTTGTGATACACAAACTATCACTATTCAACATACCATGAGACCAGAAGAAGCTAGTAAGCTACATCCCTTGTGAGTGTGTGGGGACCACCATCTGCCAAATGAAAATTAATAATAAATTCACAATTCACAAGAACATTAGGGCCATAATTCACATGAGGGAACATGCATCCCTGACATGTGTGTTTCTGTCAGTGTTGTGTGTGGGGTGCAGACATGGATGGGGTTGGGCAGGCAACAGCCTTTGGGATCTTCAAGCCTCCGTAGTGGCTGCCAAACAGTTTTAGGTTTGACGATTTATGATTATTAACATAGCTCAGACAATTCACTTAACCTAATTACTTTGACCACACACATGCTCCATTCATAGTATAAAGTCCATTGTTATTGTGTGTGCCATGGACTTTTTCCTAGAACTCATTGTCATTTGGCAACCAAACATCACCTCTTAGAGACACGTTTTTGGGTTAATTGGATGGCCTTGCTTTAACATAAAGATCAAACCGCACTATCATGTCCAGCCTTGATATTATTATCATATGACAGAGACACACAAAAGCTAGACTTGCTTGCCTGCAGAGTTACAAATTATAATGCACGCATTATGCATACACTTAATCTAACTCTAAGATGGAATTGTATGTCTTCCAGTTCCACTTCAAAACCATATCAAGGCAATGCTTAAGTTAGCAAAACTCTTCCACCATAGAGGTTTTCATGTGACATTTGTCAACACAGAGTTCAACCACAAGCGCTTTCTTCAATCTCTTGGACCCAACTCCCTTGATGGCTTGCCTGATTTTCGATTCGAAACCTTTCCAGACGGTCTTCCAGTCAGTTCAGATGAGGATACTTCCCAGGACATCGTTTTGCTTTTTAACTAAGAGCGAGATAACTTCTTGCCTCTGTTTCTTAACCTCCTAAAAGAACTCAATGACAGAGCAGCTTCCAGCAATACCAACCCTCCAGTGACTTGTATTGTTTCGGATGGTTTGATGCCGTTCCCCATCACAGCTGCTGAAGAAATTGGAAATCCTAATGCAATGTTCTTTACTATTTCTGCAGGCGGCTTCATGGGCTCTAAACAATATCCTGCTATGGTGGAGAAAGGGCTTACACCACTCAAAGGTGAAAGAAACTAAAATTGAAGCTGTTGTTTACATTTATGATTCTATATACTGCTTGTTTCTAAAGAATAGATTTGTGTGCCTGATCAAAACTTAATTTTTAGATGAGAGCTATTTCACAAATGGATTTTTGGACAAGGTGATTGATTGGATTCCAGGAATGAAAGGTATCCATTTACGGGAACTTCCGACAGTGTTTCACATTACAAATCCAGACAACATCTTTTTTAAGCTCACAGTGGAAACAATGGATAGAGTAGATAAAGCTTCAGCTGTTGTTCTTCTTACATTTGATGCATTGGAACAAGAGATTCTGGATGCTCTCTCATCTATGCTTATCCCACCTATTTTTACAATTGGTCCTATTGAATTACTACTTGTCAATCAGATACCAGAAGACCCTTTGAAGTCTGTTGGCTAAAGTCTATGGAAAGAAGAAACTGAGTGCCTCCAATGGCTAAATTCTAAAGAGCCAAACTCAGTTGTTTATGTGAAATTTTGCAGTTCAGCGGTCATCACACCCGAACTTCTTGTTGAGTTTGGTTCGGGACCTGCAAATACAAATTATCCCTTCTTGTGGGTAATTAGGCCTGATTTCGTTGTTGGCGACGGCGATTTTTGCACCAGAGTTTGTGACTGAAACCAAGGGAAGAGGTGTAATAGTAAATTGGTGCCCACGAGAGCAAGTCCTTAACCACCCATCAGTTGGAGGAGGGTTTTTGACACACAGCGGCTGGAATTCAACCATTGAGATTTTGTATTGCAGAGTGCCTATGATCCAGAGGGCATATGATAGGAGATAGGACCTAAACTGGTGTTTGATAAGGACCGAGATGTTGTTTGCATGTATGGCCCTTGTTTCATTTTTCAATTCATGTGGCTTTCTTTCTTGCTTTTGAGTGCCTTATTAGTGATTGATTACGTTTGTATAGTTACATACAAGTTACATAATTCTAACAAATAATGGTGATCGCAGACATGGGCTTAGCCAAGTTGCAGATGTGCTCTCCATTCTGCACCCAAGTTGGAATTCTCGTCCCCGTAGTTTAGACTAGATTAAAGTACAATATCATTTCTATAAAATAAAAATAAAAATAATGGTGATAATATATATTCAATGATATCTCTTGGTGCTTATGTTCAAGTTTTGGCTCTATTAGTTCTAATAAAAGCATGTTATTAACCTGCAGGCTGCATGATTGCTATATTTTGGCTCATTGTAGAGCTTATTTACTGTTTTGGCTCTATTGATGTGAATCTAATCCCATAAGGCCTTCAATGAGAATACAAAGGACACTTAATTCAACTTAACCTGCAGGCTGCAGGATACATACCGTTTTAAGATTCTACGGAGATTTGATTTTTACAGATGTGGACGTGCAGTAGAGAAACAAACAAATCCAGCCGTCCATCACTGTCGTATACCCTGACTCTTTCTAGGCTGCCGGGTCTCATTGTCATAAGTCAGACATGGCAGGAAAATGTTATTAGAACTATAAAGTTTTACTGCATTGTGTTGTGAGTGCAAATATTGTTCATATGTGCATACACTGACTGTAAACACAATCTAAGATGAGCTCCATAGAAGTACAGGGCAATAAGCCTCATGCTGTATGCATTCCCTTTCCAATACAAAGCCATATAAAGGCAATGCTGAAATTAGCAAAGCTCCTACACCATAGAGGTTTTCATATAACCTTTGTTAACACAGAGTTCAACCACCACCGCTTTCTTAAATCTCTTGGACCTAACTCCCTCAATGGCTTGCCTAATTTTCAATTCAAAACCATTCCAGATGGTCTTCCAGCTTCGGATGAGGATGCCGGCCAAAACGCGTATTTGCTTTGTGATTCCATCAGAAAAAATTTCTTGGCACCATTTCATAACCTCCTTTTAAAACTCAATGACATGGAAATTTCTAACAATATTAGTAATCCTCCAGTGACTTGCATTGTTTCAGATGGTTTCATGACTTTCAGCATCACAGCTGCTGAAGAACTTGGAATCCCTGTTGCACTGTTCTTTACTATTGCTGCAATTGGATTCATGGGCTTTAAGCAATATCCCACTTTGGTAGAGAAAGGACTTGCGCCACTCAAAGGTGAAATAAGTATTCATAATATTGAAGCAGTTGAGCAACTTTTTGCTTAATTTCTTGTTGTTTTTTTTTTTTAAATGGTGATGAAATTTTTCTTGACTTGGGTGTTGCAGAGGAGCGCTATTTAACAAATGGCTTTTTGGACCAGGTCATAGATTGGGTTCCCGGAACGAAAGCTATTCGTTTAAAGGATCTCCCAAAGTCCTTTCAAACTACAAACCCCAACGACATCTTGTTTAAATTAACCTTGGAAGCAATGGACAGAGTTGATAAAGCTTCAGCAGTTGTTCTTCATACTTTTGATGAGTTGGAGGCAGATGTTTTGCACGCTCTCTCATCAATGTCTCCACCTGTCTATACCATTGGCCCTCTCCAGTTACTTCTCAATCAGATACCACAACACCCTTTGAAGTCCATGGGATATAGTCTATGGAAAGAAGAAACTGAATGGTTCCAGTGGCTCAATGCTAAGGTGCCAAACTCAGTTGTTTATGTAAACTTTGGCAGCATAGTGGTCATAAAGTCGGAAGATCTTATTGAGTTTTGTTGGGGACTTGCAAATAGCAAGCTTCCCTTCTTCTGGGTAGTTAGACCTGATCTGTTAGTTGGTGAATCGGCGATTTTGCCACCTGAGTTTGTAGCTGAAACTAAGGGAAGAGGTTTGGTAGCAAGCTGGTGCCCACAAGAGCAAGTCCTTAGCCACCCATCCATTGGAGGATTCTTAACACACAGTGGTTGGAACTCAACCATTGAGAGTCTTTCTGCAGGAGTTCCTATGCTCTGTTGGCCATTCTTTGCCGAACAGCGAATAAATTGTGTCTATACTTGCAATGAATGGGGCATTGGCTTGGAGATCAATAATGATGCCAAGAGAGACCAAGTAGAGAAGCTCATTAAAGAGTTAGTGGAGGGAGAGAAGGGTAAGAAAATGAGAACCAAGGCTATGGAATGGAAGAAACTAGCAGAGAAGGCCATCAGTCCTGATGGTTCTTCATATGCAAACTTAGACAATTTAGTGAATCAAGTTCTATTAAGAAAAGGCTAGGTGCTTTCCATATGAGCCTTCTTATTAGGTTTGTTGTTGGTCTTAATAACCTACAAAATGAAGAGCCTAGCGGCTATTGAGCCTTGCTATCATCTCTAATTTCTTGCTTTGCTGTAAACTAGTTCTACATGGATCCCAATCTTCAAATTTTGTAGCTTTTTTCTTGTTATTTTTAATCCATTTTAGATTCTTAGCAAAAGTTGTGGTTGTATTCTTGCACTCCTATGAAGGAGAGTATATTCCACCATTATAGAAATGTTATTTGCACATCCCATATTTAGTAGCCATTTTCAACAATATTATTAATTTTGTTTTATAATATGAAACTTACTAAACAAAAAATTATGGTGCCATGGTATTTCTTCATGAATATGCTGATATTTACTATACAATAATTAAATTCAAAAACCAGAACAAAAATCAAAGGAAATTAATTATTGAATAGTAAATATTGTATAACCACAAAACAGAACTGATACCTCAAGGCTGATCCTGTACTTAGAAATTTTGTTGTAGTCACATCCCAGGGAGGCATCGGTGAGATATGCACTTGGATTGCATGTAGATTTTTCTTCCCATGCTATCAAATGTTTAAGCCTTCATAATAACCTGCTTAGTGCAGATGGAAATCATAATTTTGAAACAAAACTACCAGAAATAAGAACCAGAGCTTCTTATGAAAAGAGCAACAGAATAATGACAGCTAAATCATTTACAGGCCAAAAGCCTAACTGCCTATGATTCTCCAATGATCAAAAGACGGTATGTTTGAGTTTTCCTTTCCCAGACAAAATAAAACAATCTAGTGCGAGGGAATGAAAGTTAAGAAATCACAATCCTATTTGAATAAATTTTGTCTAATAGGAGTTGCAATCCTATTTTCCCAAATGATGTTGTAAAGGCCAAAACAAAAAGGTGTGACACACAAACTATCACTATTTAACATACCATGAGACCAGAAGAAGCTTGTGAGTGTGTGGACCACCATCTGTCAAATGAAAAGTAATAAATAAATTCACAATTTACAATTCATAAGAACATTATGGCTATAATTTATATGAGTGAATATGCATCCCTGACATGTGTCTTTCTGTCAGTGTTGTGTGCGGGTGCATATATGGATGGGTTTGGGCAGGCAACAGCCTCCGGGATTTTCAATGAACTAAGCTATTGTCTTTTTCTTTCTTAAGAAATGCAGATTTATTAAACAAACTATGTGGATGACACACACCAGTTGACCTAAAGAGGCCAACAGTCTTCAACACTGTCAATTGGCTGATCCCAATCATAATGAAATTTAGAGAGAAGAGAGAGGAGGCAGCACCATACATATGGAGACCATGCTATGCCATATCTAATACTTGAAAATTTACTTTCTAACACAGAACTTGTATAAAGTTTAATTCCATCCATATGATTACAAACCCAAAATTTGAGTTTTACCCATTAGCCATGAATGTTACATCTATCACATCTTTACTCTATGATCATACATGACTTTCACAAATAGCTCAGCTCTGAATACTTGCCTTTACAGGGTCAACGGGATGCATCATTCCTTCCCCAAATTCCCCAGCAATAGCTCTCCCAACTGAAACTCCCCCAAAAACTACAATGACAGATTAAAATATCAATTATGGACTCCAACAAGTCCATATATACCTTACAATTCCACTAATTCAAAACATTAAAACACATAACCAGACAAAATTTGTATACACTTTGGCAAATGCAATTATACATTTACTAAATACCCAAAACCTTGATTTCTTTTCTTGCCCAACCCAACAATATAATTATTTCATAAAGAAATTGAATATTTTCCTATGATGGTTTATTTCATTATTGAAAGATTTGTGCTTTCAACCAAGGTAGTTGGTGTGAGTGGTTCGGCACTCTCATTCCTTAAGAGAAGGTCAGGGGTTCGATCCTTGCTCTCGTATGGAGTCACCACTTTGGCCAGCACTTTACCCCTTACGGGCCGACCCGGTGTGAGCGGGGATTAGTCTGGGTTGTGGTTAAGGCTTAAAGGTGCCACCCATAGTTGGGGCCCATCCAGGACCACCTCGTGGTTCAAACCAAAAAAAAAAAAGATTTGTGCTTTCAGCTGCCTCAAATTTCAACTTTGTTGCATTTTGCTAGAAGATTAAATTTTCATTCTTTCATTGCAACTGCTTGATGTTTCCAAATCTTTACTTTTTTTCTAAATTCTATCCCATAAGATCGAAAAAGGGGAAAAGAAAACAGAGAATTGAAAGGCTCACAGTAAATTCGCCGTCGATCAAGAGCTTGATAGAAGTGAGGGCGGAGAAAGCCAGAGCCTTTTTCTCGTCACTTCGCCGTCGATCCCTGCTCCCTCTCTATCTCTGTCGATCATATCCAACGGTCGAATGGGCCTTTGGCTATGGGGATGAGTTTTGGACCGTTGGATGTATAGCGTATCTGAAACGTCAATATTACCCTTAATGCTCTTTGTATTCTGCCAGGGTAGAATCGACATAAGATTCGGGACTGATCAGATGAGAGCTCTTTGAATTCTGCCATGAAAGGAAGAAGGAAAATCATAAGTTTTAGTAATTATACCACGACCAAGTGGTCCTGTTTCTTGAGAATTGAGGAAATTTGGGTGAGAAATTCAGGGTTTTTCATTCTAAACTCCACCTATTCACGTGAATAGTGGTTGCTCTTGCAAATAGTATTGTGTGTTTCCACCCGTTGTCATGGCAAATGGCAATTACTATTTATTTTTTTTTGTTTTTTTCACAAATTTTTTTACCTCAATAATTAATTTGGATAATATTTTCGGATAAGATTTTCGGGTTTCTACGTGTCAAGACTATTCATAATCGGATAAAATTTCTAGATAAGATTTTTGGGTTCAAATTTCAAATAAATTTTTAGATTCAAATTTCGGATGAATTTCAAAATTCAAATTTCAGATAAATTTCAAAATTCAAATTTCGGATGAATTTCAAATTTCAGATAAGATTTCAAAATTCCAATCATGATGGTTGAAACTTTTTTTGCCTTACCCAATTGCACCAAACCACATCTGTGCTTGAATCATCTATTAAAAAAAATGGAAATGCAAGAAATATTTAAAATATATTGGATATGCAAGTAACAAAAAATAAATAATGGAAATGCAATTAACCTTACAAATATATTGGAAGTGGAAGAAATATTAAGAAACAATTGAAAATGCAAGAAATATTAACAAATTATTGAAAATGTAATAAACATTAAATATATATATATATATATATTAGGACATTAAACTTAATAAAATGAAAATTACAAAATACTTACCTCGTTACTAAGATTTTTCCCGCTTCTATGGTTGTCCATTGCTTTTGCCAAGGCATCCCTCTATTTTCCCAACTCTTTATTGAGAATTTTCTACCTACTAAACAATATCATTTCTGTACGAGTCAACCCCGGAATTTTTTCACAAAATTTGGCATGAATTTTTTTCCACATATGAAAAAATTTCATCTCATTGCCTGACACGAGAAAATGACAAATTTGGAGTCAAGCCTCACACAAGGAAACATCTTCCATGGTGCTCCACACCCCTTCGGTTTCGATAGAAGAAGCCATAAATATAAGAAACTAAAATACAATTTAAAAGAGAGGAAACTGTTGAGTAAAGAGTGAATAATAGTAGAAGTATAAGAAAATGTATAAGGATTGGTGTTGAAAGTGAAGGGTATTGATATGTATTTATAGAAGAAAAAAAAATTCACAATTTTTTGGTATTTTTTTAAAAAAAATTTGATTTTTTTTTCATAATTTTATTGCCAAACAAATGTCAGGCGTTGGATTGGAGGATGAGAAGCAGATCGGAGTGCCCAAGGCTTGACACCTGTCTTCTATCTGTTGGAGCTTGCACATGGCTAACATCAACGCACGTAAGTTTAAATTTTTTTTACCGTTGGCCCATGCATTGCAAGCGCCAACGGTAAAAAAATTTTAACCAGAGCGATGATGTCGCGCATGACGTCATCAGCCCTCGGGCGAAACTGGCCTTCGGGCCAGCCCGTCTTCATGGATCCCACTCTCAACCCGGGCTTAGGCACCTCACTGGAACTGGGTTTTTTTTTTTTCTCTCCCCAGCCTTGGGCTCAACTGATCGTTGGAGTTGCTCTAACAAAAATGCAAGATAGTGATTTTGCAATCTCTTTGTCAACCAGAACAACAATTCTGTATGACAAATAATGTGTACAATAACGTAATTTAGTTTTGAGAGACATTGCAAATATGTTTGAGTTCCCACATTGGAACACTAGAGTTCCTTGAAGGTCTTTATAAGACTTGCTCTTGAAAGAGAATAGTTTGTATTGGCTACGCAAGTGGCCCAATTGAGTGGTTTGTGGGTATGGCCTTTAGGTAAATACCTAATTAGTTGGGTCATCGATTATGTAATATATATATATATGGGCTCTGTGATTTAAATTAAAGCCGATTATTTATTTTAAAAAAACAAATAGGGAAAAATGAGATTTTTTTAAATACATATTATTTTTGTTCAATAATATGATAGAATTATGAAATTTTTGTAAAAAATAAGTGCATTAAACACGAGAAATACTGGCGTATGTGTATAATACAATATTAAACGTGAAAGTGCCAAAATCTTTATACGGGTAATAATGTTGAAAAAGTGAAAAATAAAAAATGGACAATAGATACTCGAGTAATGGCCTAATAATAACGGATAGAGCTCTTGGGCTATGGAGAAATTTAATTAAGATACACAAACGATTTCACAAAAGACTTAATAAATATAAATTAATTATTTTGTGGACTTTTTCTTTAATGTTTTATATTAAATAATAATTAAAATATAAGTACTAATTAAAGTAATTCAAAAAGGCTAAGACATTGCTCAATTACATATATTTAATTAAAGAATTAGGCCAACAAAAAAAAAGTAAAGAAAATTCCCAGATTAAATTTTCTCTTTAAATAGTATAGCCGCACGGCTATACGATTTATATAAAAAAGGGACGCGCCCAGGGCACAGGTGCCACGTGTCAAAACAAAAAAGGGCAAATATTATAGCCGCACGGCTATACTATATAAGCCATAGCTTATGCGCCACGTGGCAAACCGGTACAGCCGGTCGGCTGTACTATTTTCAATTTAACATTTAAAAACAAGTATAGCCGCATGGCTATACTATTTTTAAAAAGGAAAAACTGAGATTTTTTTAAATACATATTATTTTTGTTCAATAATATGTTAGAATTATGTGTATAATACGTGAAATTTTTGTAAAAAATTAAACATGAGAAATACTTGCGTACGTGTATAATACAAATTATGGTCTTTGATTCTACTTTTCGTGATGGGGTTCATAGTTGGTGGTTTTATTCTTGGTGCAGTCCACAATGCATATCTCCTCATTGTGGTTGTGATCCTTTTTTGTGCTGTTAAATTGATGGTGAACTTGATATCATCATCCAATGACAAGCTCCATTTTTCTTTCAATTCCCGTGATGATAAACTAGTTTTGTTGCAGCCTTGAGCGCCTTAGTTACCTCTCTGCTTAGGCTAATGCAGTCAACAACAATGGAATGTTTTCTCTCTAAGGTCTAAAGCTGGAGCAAACACAAAGAGGCATGGGCTCATTTAGTAATCGTCACTGATGACTGCTGAGTGTTAAACTTGAATAGTAGGGCCTGTGTAATATCTGGGGCGCATATAGAGATTATCTGGTTCTGTCTCAGCAAGCCATGCATACTCCTTTTCTTTACCATCATCTATCTTAATTCCGTTCAATGTAGCTACAGTGTTTAGCAAACAACTATAATTATCAGTTTTCATAATTTTTTTTTCTCTTTTCTTTTCTTTTCATGCGAATAAGTTTACTAAGGAAAGAAAACTCTAACTAGAAACCAAAGCTACTTACCAAAGGCAGTATACGGGTAATCGCGGTAGTAGCTAGTAGGGCACATTTTCTGCCTCCATCCTCTCTGTAGTAAAATAATGCAAATTTAATAAATAGAAATTAATTATTTTGTGGATTTTTTATTTAATTTGTTATATTAAATAATAATTAAAATATAATTTTTAATTCAAATAATTCAAAAAGGCTAAGATATTACTTAATTACATATATTAAATTAAAGAAGTAGGCCAAAAAAAAAAGTAAAGAAACTAATTTTACATTTTTAAATTTAAAAAAAATACCTCCGACGAAAGTTCGTTGACACAGGTCTATGCTGGCGAAATTTCCCGAATTAAATATTCTTTTTATAAAGTATAGCCGCGCGGCTATACTATTCATATATTAAAAAAAATAAGCCCAGCCCTATCTTAAAACAGTAAAGCCGGGCGGCTATACTATTTTTAAAAAAAATTAGGCAAAACGAGTATAGTCGCACGGCTATACTATTTCTTAAAAAAATTCAAAAGAATCTAGTATAGCTATACTATATATATAGCCCATTGCCTATGCACCACGTGTCAACACGTAAAGCCGTACGGCTATACTATTTTTAAAATAAATTTAAAATAAGGAAATAAATGGAGTAAAGCTTTAAGTTCCAGATAGAAAAAATGAAGAGAGTATTGAAGCTTTAATAAATGGCCTCAGTCCAATTTCCCATTGCAGAGGGAATGTATAAACAGACATGGAGATTACCTCTGATTCTTCTATGTCTAGTTTATGAGATGTGGTATTTGCAAGCACATGCTCCTCAAGTGATGTTGTACACTCCTTCAAAGAGATGACAGATAAACAAAAATCAGAGGGGGGGAAAAAACAGATGCCAGTATAGCCGGTCGGCTATACGTTTTAAATATATTATATTTAAAAAGTCCAGCCGCCCGGCTATACCATTTTTAAAAAAAATGCCAAAAATGATTATACGAGCTTTACGTTTCCCTCGCTGCCTGGCTCGCTTCACTAAATCACTTCCCATCAAAGTCTTCAAGGCCAAAAAAGAGGTGGGCAATTCCTCATTTGAGCTCTCATGGCATCTCTTAAGAAATCAAAGAAAAGCAAGAAATATAGTAAATTGAAGAAAAACTTAAGCTTGGTTCCAGTCGAGCCTAAAGCCGCAGACTCTGACTGGTGGGATAGTTTCTTCAACCCAAGGTTTTTCTTTTCACTAATCTCAGTCTCCAATTACTCTGCCTCCTGCTTTTTAGTGGAATGCATTCAGATTACTTGTAGTTTTAACTAAATTATCTTTATATTTTTGCTCATTTTGAAAAATCTATGATGCACAGAAATCTAAAACAGGTGGCGGATTTTGTTCTGTAATGTTAAATTCGGTAATGATGTTCATAATTAGAGCTCAAAACCTATAAACTGTGCTTTTGTTCAGTTAGGCTATTGGAAAAACGGCCGAGGCCCTAGGTGGCCGCCTAGGCTGGTCTAGACGGATCCTTTTTTTTTCTTTCTAACTTTAGCTAAATTATGAAGGCGCTTCAATTTCTGATGGCCGCTATACGAAAATTGGATTTTGATTATGTGTTTTGCATCTTGAAAGAGAAAGATGTGGTTGAAAAGTTATTACT